TTATATTTTTTATCAACTAACTTAAATTCATTATACAAATCATTGTATGCATCAAGTAATTCATTGTAAGGTAAATACATTTCAGATGAGTTGCATACCTCGTCATCGAAAGCCACCAAAGTATAGTTCGCTACCTCACCTTCATTGGTTTGCTCTTTGTCTTTCGATACACTTGATTCGTCCTAAGTCGTCTTGAGTACTTTTTTCTTCTTTTGATGTGTAAGCATCTTCTTCTTTAGTTGTGGACATTCGCTTTTGAAATGCCTCAGCCTTTTACATTCATAACAAGTTATTGTATCGTTTTTAAATTTATTTTTGTACTTGGTTTCTTTATTTATGAATTTTTTAAATTTTCTTGTGAGAAGTTCAAAGTCATCATCGTCACTTTGAGCTTTTGCTGGAGTGGTCTTCTTTTATTCTAAGTGTCATATCCTTTTTGTTCTTTGGAAGGTTGTTCTTATGTTCACCATGTATCATACAAGTCATTTCATAGGTCATTAATGACCCTATGAGCAATTCAAGTCATTTGCTTCTTGAATAGCAATTACTTTTGGATCCCAATTTTTAGGAAGAGATTATAAAATTTTATTAACAAGTTCAAGATTAGTTAAACTTTTACCAAGTGCTTTCAAACCATTGACAATATCCGTAAAATAGGTGTACATGTCACCAATGGTTTTGCTTGGTTTCATTCGAAACAATTCAAAACTATGGATCAAAAGATTGATCTTAGATTCTTGAACTCTACTTATACCTTCATGAGTAATTTCAAGTATGTGCCAAATGTCATGTGTAGTTTTATATATCAAAATATGATTAAACTTAATTTTGTCTAAAGCACAAAACAAAGCATTCATAGCTTTAGTATTTAATAAAAATATTTTTTAAAAAAATTATTTATTCATTCATAGGTTTAGAGAGTATTTAAAAACTAAGTTCGATTACATTCCATAAATTAAAATATACAGAAAGCAAAAAAACTCTCATTTGTGTTTTTCAATATGTATAGTTTATCTCATTGAACATAGGAGGATGAGTGATTGAGTAACCCTCTAGATTGTCAGCAAAAGTTATTTAATCTCTCTCGGGTGTTAAACCAATTGAGAAAAACTTGACTTTGATACTAATAATTAGAACCAAAAATGACACTAAGAGGGTGGAGGATGAATTAGTACTTTCGTAAAATTACGTCGATTTAAAAACTTCATTCGATCAAAACCGTATTGGAAATATGTTTAACTTAAAATGTAAGTGAGAGTAGTAGACAATTGAATCAATAAGTAATGACAATGAAAATCAGAACAAAAATGCACATCGAATTTATAGTGGTTCGATTATCGTGACCTACGTTCACTCCCGATTCCTCTTTCGTCGAGGCCACCGATGTTTACTAACGATCTTTTTTCAATATGTGAAGATCAAATACTCTTTTTACAACTCTTTCTCCTTTTCATAGGCTTAGAAGAGAGTCCTTACACCTCTCTCTTTTACATTAAATGCTCACTCCTCCCTCAGAAAGATCTCTAAACAATAGGAGGAAGAGACTCTACACTTCAAGAGAGATTACAATTCTTTTTTCAGAATGATTCTTTTCCTCTTTCGACTCTTTTTTTTGCTTACCCAAGTAGGAATTAGTGGAATATTTATATATCTCAAATGATTTCAAAAAATGGAGTCAAAATTTAAATCTCCGAGATTTCGGGGTACTAACAGTACCAGTGCCTAAGATTGACAGTACCATTGCCGGATCTTTTGGAAGAAGTACATTTCATGCCTTTTTAATTTACAAGCAATTCCACCACTTGTTCTGGTAGTACCACCGCCTGACACATATATGGGTGGGTCTCCCAATAAGCCTAACTCAACCCTATATCAGGCCCAATGGGCCCTAATTGAATTGGGATGGTTACACTCAAATCCAACTTAATTATGACCTAACCTACTTCGATTAAGACATAACCGATTAAAAACATGAATATTATGTTGTTTGGCATATCATTGGTTCATCTGGTGCTTTGTTCGAACCTTCGGTTCATCATCCTCTCATTCAATGTATTGCTCGATCATCAACATGTTGACCTTCTGCAACATCCGATCTTCTTGGCGTAATGTCCGATCCTTCTAGTCCGATGCCTAAACTCATGACACAATATTCTTCTGTTGGCACGTCGACCGGTCCTCTGGCTCAACGTCCAATCTTCTGATATGATGTTCTCCAGGCCAACGTCTGATTCTCCTTCTTCAATCGATTTATCTTTTTATGATTGAAGTTAGTCTTGCATCATTCAAACGCTGATTAGATCATTACTCAATCAATTGATTTTATTATTAAAATCTGAGATTCAATAGATGTTAATCGTAAATAAGAAGATTGTTTACGAAGAAAAACTAATACAAATTCACATTCAGATACATAAGAATTATATAAGAACTAAAATAGTCTCTTTTAAAAAAAATATAAATAGATTTTTTTTTGGAATAATGAGACTATTCCAATTATAATATTAGTAGAGAAAGAACAATAATAAATGCAAAGGGCAAACATCCAGGGGATCCAGGATCAAAGGATTTGGACTAAGATTTCTATATGGATGGGATGATGTATTAGTATATCTGATAGATAATTTAAATGTAATAAATTATCCTTAAAAAAGGAAATATTGATTGAATATATTGTAAATTATGAGAGTTTGGTATTTTTTTTCTTCAAGCGAAGATACTAATTGCAGCAAGAATGAAAAAAAAAGGAAAAAAATAATTGTTGTGCCCAACGAATCGATTTTGGTAAGAATCATTAACCGAATAAATCAAATAATTTTGTTGATACATTCGAATAATTAAACGTTTCAAAAAACACTGAACTACATTTATTGCCATAACCCAAAAAATTCACTGGTTCATAAAAAATTAAACTATTTAAATATATTCCTAAAAAAAAGGATTGTTGCCGAGATCTATCTTTTTCTAAATATCCTTGTAATTCTTCCATTTACATTTCTGCTTAGAGTAGGTAGGGGTAGGAGGAATTTCTTGGGTTATTAAATAATACATAGTGTAAAATGGTCAAAATAGGATATTTCGTATTCTATTATGTATATAGAATATAATAATAATAAAAATATATATCCTGAAAAGGAAATAGGGAGTCCAATCAATAAATCTTTTTATTCTTTTTTTTTCTATCGAATTGGTTTATCTTCGTTGTTTATCTTCGTTATAATTACAAGAGGATAACAAACCCTTTATTTTTGCAACCCGATCGCTCTTTTAACTTCGGAATTTATACTCTTTATCAGTATACTGTTTCTTCTACACATCCGTTTCTAATCCATAATAAAGAATAGTTAGGATTTATTAAAAAAAAAAAAAAAGAATTAATGGTCCACTCACAGGAGAACTTACCCTTTCCCACATTAATCTATTTTTAACGTCTAATTAGATCGGGTAATCGTTCAATTCAAATTAAGAACATAAGCTCGTTGCTTTTTGTTTTAACAGAATTAGAACCATAGGCTCTATCCATTTATTCACTAGACCCAACTGTAAATGTGAATTTGTTTTGTCCCCTTCCCTTCCAAATTTTTTTATATTATTTTTGGAATGGTCCAGTAAGGATAAACTCAAAGTTCCATTTTTATTTTAATTTATATTTTTTAATAAAATAAGAATTTTTTATTATGATATGCTATTTTTTCTATTCATTACCTTTGAGGATCGATAGTGGTCTTATAGACTCTACTAATAATCTAGACGAATTTATTGCTTCATCCAAATGTGTAAAATATCATAGTCACACTTAAAAGTCTAGTACTCTACTGTTGAGTTAGCAATCAAAATAAAATAAAATAAAATAAGATATTAGATACGATCAAAATTTAAAATTAATTAAATTGTACTGTATGACCCCATCAAAATATTGAACTAACAACAAATAAAAGAAAGATTTTATGATCAATTATACAAAATAAATAAAAATATACGAATCATATTTAAAAACACCAGATTCCTAAAAGAGATGCTAAAATTGTGACAGACCTGTCGTTTTTTATCAATTTTTTTAATTATTTTTGTTAAGTTAAATTCTAAAATACTAAACCCAATAATGCAAACCTATTATTTGAGTAAAAGTTTAGTAAAAACCCAATATGGGGTCTGGATAAAGAGATTTATTTATCTATGATCAATTATATTTGTTCGATACACCATTGTCAATATGAATTGTTGAGAAAACAAATAACAAATAAAGTAAATAAAATAAGGATTTGTATTGGGTTGGCACAACATAAATAAGAAATTTTGATGGAAAAAAATAAGGAAAAGATAAAGAAAAAATCTTGGATTTATTCAATCAATAGAGGTACAATTGGTGGATTCCTATAACAAGAAAAAAGTAAATTTAAGTATGAATAGAGCAAGAAAAGGGAAAATTTTAGGTAAAAAATTGTAAGTAAAAAATTATACAAAGATAGATTTTATATTAATCATCTCCCCCCTTTTTTATTAATTTTATTGTTCTTTTCTTTTAATTAACTCGTTTTTTTTAATTCTATCTTATTTAAAATATCATAAACAGTTTGTATAGGTTGAGCGTCCTTTTTAAGGAAATATAGAATAGCATAAAAACTCACTTTTCTAAAATCTCACTTTTCGAAAATCTCTTCCTTCTCTTCGGGATCGAACATCAATTGCAACGATTCGATAGATGGCTCATTGGGATAGATGTAGGAGGTTTTTCTCCTTATGCGGCTTGAGAAAAAAATTATTTTAATTTCAATATATCTTTCTGTATATAATATCAAATAGTAAACACAAAATTAGACCAAAAAATTATTATATATACTATTTTTGTCTGTTCATATAAAAGACCAAAAAATCTACTTTGCACAGTGTCAATTTTGTAACCATCAATTTAGCAAGGAAAAATCTCTTTACTTGTTATACACAGATGTAGCATATATATAGATAGTAATAGATTCTTTATCACTCACATAAGCATCGACTTTGATCCCACCATAAGTTCCTTGTCATCTTTTTACGGTATTATTTGGCATAAGAATCCCATAAGTTGGGTATCAGAACACAGATGCTACAGTAATCCAACAAATAGACGCATGTGTAGAACACCACATTGCATTCTTACAAGCACTACTACAGCTTTCATGAGCATGAGTGACACAGTGCTGGTGGCCTGTACGATCAAACACTCCAACACTACCAGTACAACTATTGGTAATTATGAGTGAGATTCATGGTTCTACATACAACATGTGTATATAACTATAGTCTGCGACCTACACATTTCAATCTCGTGTCTATCTGCCATATGCTTGGTCTTTTAGAAAACCTTCAAAAAATATTATTAGTACCTTCTCACGTCAGAAAGTGGAGTTGGGGCGTTGAGACTCTTCAGTAGTTTGGAGACCAGTCGAAGTTTTGGTAGGATATGTTGATATGACCTCCGTCATTCAGAAGATGAGTCAAAAGCCCAGCTTTAGTTGCATCGAGGTAGCTCAATATCCAATTAAGGATATCTTTTTCTTCTCCAAAATCAGCATCGTACCTGTATCATAAACCTTGAGCGAGTCAATGAAACGTCACCTAATCATTTGAAGTTCAGTCTCCGAAGCATACAGGTAGGACTTTAGACAGCAAAAGTTACTCTTTTGGTGGACTAATGTCACATGTCACTTCGAGGGTCCATATAATTTGATGGATTTCCCTAAGGAGAATTAAGTTTACCATATACAAGCATTACTAAAATGATAAAAACTGGAGAACTATGGGCACCTAATGGTCCATAAAAATGATCAGATTTGTTCTACTTAATCTTAAGGTAGTAGTCATATTATTATACTGGAAAGAGGCCTTGCTAGTTTATAGCTAACAATAAACTGCAACAATCTTAGCGATATTCTACTAAGATTAAAGAAGACTCACCATTTAATAATCCTGGTGAGATAGACAACTCTCCTCTCAAGATCCACTTCGATCCCGCCACGAAGGAAAAACTCTCTTGCAGCGTGCCTGAGTTCTACTTCAACCCCTTCGGTAGAGAAGAACCACACTGTTGGACTCGAACGGGTTCCATTGCATAGACCAAAATGGATCAAAGGGTTCACCTTTGTGGAAGCCAACTAAAAATATTACAATAGACTAGATTTTAGCTGGCATCACCAGGAAACAAATATGCATGGAGAGAGGCGGGATTGCCAAGCAAGTACCTCTAATCGCTTGTCACCAGCACTGAAAGGCTTGACCAAGGAGTAAGGCTGCCTTCTGTTGGAACGGAGGATGCCATTCTTTATGGAGGAAAGCGAAAAAGGATAGCCTCCAACTATATACTGGAAGTCGGTGTAGAAAGCCCTCCTGTCGATCACTCCAGGTTGGCCGATTCTGATAATGGCATGAATGACCATTGCATTGTATAAATTCAGGAAGAAGGCCAACTTCTCATCAGCTGACAGGCCAAAAATGTCGACCCGTTGAAGATCTTGGACCAGGTTAACGTATCTGCTCAATATTCCAAAAAATAAAGGAAACATGTCATATATAACTGTAGTTAAATCTTTGATGCTAAACTAAGTTTAGTGTAAGTATAATCTAAGGTAGATCACGCAGGATGAATAGACCACTCAACTCTAATACACTGGTTCATTGCAATATCAGATAACAGAGACCTGATTACACCCTATGTTTGATCTGTAACAGCTAAACCAAGTGTCAACGTACCTACGGAACTCCTCGCTGGCACCGATACGGCCATAGTCCAGATGACGCCTATCATCGGATGCATAGGCTTCAAGTATTGCAGTCATTAGCTTAGTTAGCCTCTGGCCGACAATGGTAGCTGGTTTGGGTTCATTGTCATTTGTTGATCCTCTAAAGTTGAAACATTTTGGAATTACTGGTTCATGCTCAAGAAAATGGTAGAAATGGTTGTTCCCGTCTTCAAAGTCATTCTCCCTGCATTAATTAATTCATCAGTCTACTGCAAAGAGCCAAAGGATCTCAGAGTGATACGGTGTAGGATTTACCGAAATACATGATGTATGAAGTGCTTCCTGGCGAGCTCTTTACCGATTTCCACAGCCTAAAGCAAGTCAAAATGCAGACAAGTTTGGTACACAATGATGATAAGAGTAGATAATAGAACAAAGATCTATAAACAGACATAATGTTCTCATGTTGACTGTAGCATACAAATGCTCCAAAGAACATCTAAAAAGAGGATCTCCATATCAAAAAACTAAACACCAGCGTAGATTATATTTCTTGAAAAAGGACATTAGTAATGTATCAAATAGATCAAGTGGTGATACTATAAAATTATAAAATTATTTCTATAAAATTAGATCAAGTGGGACATCTATCAAATCAAGCTATGAAATTAGTTCGTGTTTCTTTAATCCACTGACCAATTCTGGTTAAAAAACATGAATACCATTCTTTTTTCAGCGTCACAAGAATAAGGAGATTTAGCTGTCTCCAAAAATTAAAAGTCAAACCCAGGATTAGAAAAAGCAATAATTGGTCGATAAATCATTCTTCTGGACTGCCATATTAACTTAGCAGGAAATTACGTTAGTTCTACGTATGAGGGCAGAAATCAAATGAGATAAAAAAGATAAGATGACTCTAATGCATGCATCATGCATGGGCATTTGCATTAAGATGAGGACGAAACGTCATTTGTGCTGTAAGGCAAGATTGATTTAGTCAAAAGCTACTCAAGATGGATGACGCACAATCCGAGCAAAAGATGATATTTTCCTCTTTTTTTTCTCTTCCTGACGGATGGACTTCAAATCTTAACAACTAGTCCTTCTAATTCTATGACAAACTCGTGAAAATTACTTCCATCAAATTAATCTTATAATCTCCTTCATCAGTCCTAATTCATCAAAAAAAAGAATCTTAAAAGCAGAAGAAACAGACTGAATAACTACATCTACAGCTACTATCGAGCAATCTTTGAATTCGCTCGCAAGATGTTAACCCCTCGGAAGGTCAGAAGGACCCAAAAACCGCCCTGCGGACAACAGGACAAGAAACCGGTTAAGCTCGTTCTCGACGACCCCACCCGAACCCACCATGTGAATAGTGCACGAAAAATAAAGACATCTAACGGCCCCGATTTGCCCGTCGATTCAATGCGGTGGAAAAACGTTTTTTTTAAGCACCCAAAGAAAACGTCCACTCGTGCCTCGTAACCGAATCACGCTCCTCTCCCATTTCCGCCCACCCGCGCCTCACGTGTCCGGACACGGTGCCGTCATTCCCGCCGTCCGATGCGTACCGTGGGACCAACCTCCTAACGGACTCCTCCCGTGTGCCCCCCGGCCCCAACTCACCCATGTGACCGTCTCGGGACAGAATTCGTCATCTTTGGCCGTTGAATCCTCATCGAACGGACGAGAGAGTGCATCGATCACGGAGGGAGAGGCGTTACCTTCTTGCGGCCGCAGTCGAGGTGGTTGATGATGGCCTCCACCATGTCGCTCCCGGAGAAGCAGTTCCTGACCAGCTTCATCCTGGTGATCCGGTCCTGGATCGGGAGGCGGTGACGCAGAACCCGCGCCATCGCCACCATCACGTCCGGCCGCTCCCCGCGCAACTCTTCCTCGTCGTCGAAACCGTACGCCGGCACCCGCGGCGCCGCATCCGGACACCGCACCCCGGCCATATCCCGCAGCCGCCGTTCGAACTCCCCGCTGTTACGCAGCGAGTTGAGCGCCACCAGCCCCCCAAGCAGCTTCTCGTTGAAGAAGATCGCTGGCAGGGCTGAGCTCCCCGTCCGCTCCACCAGCTCCCGCTGTCGCTCCGGGAACACGTCCACGTTGATCTCCACGTACGGGAGGCCCTGCTCACGAAAGAATGATCGGACGGCGCCGCAGTCGCGGCAGCCGGAGCGCGAGAAGAAGCTGACCCGGCCCTTGATCTCGCCGCCCTCCGGCTCGGCCTCCGCCCGCTCGTTCTCGCCCTTGAGCCGTACGATCACCTTGAGTCCCGAGAGGCGGAACTCGGTTACGGACCCGTTGGGCCCGCAGTCGCCGTCGCCGGATGGGGGCACCTTGAGGGAGGAGATTCGCTTCGCGATGGCGGCGGAGAAAACGCTGCCCCGGTTGTGGAGGTACTTCCCGATCGCGGAGACGTCTACGGCAGCGGCGGTGGAGTTGAGGGAGACGGAGCGTTCGATGGGGCGGCGCTCTTCATCCGGCCCAGTGGACCGCGCCTTGGTGAGACCCGGCGGCGCCTGCGGCTGCGGCAAGTGCGACGGCGGACCTACGAGCCGCTCCTCCTTCCGGTACGCACTACTATCCCCTTCGATCCGATCTTCGCCGGAAGCCTCCTTCGGGTCCTCCACCGCCGGCCCATGATCCCCTGCGGCTGGTTCTCGGGGGCGATCCACGGGATGGGTATGTGGATAGGAGGAGAGAGAGGCGTCCTCTTCTCCCATGATTGGGTTCGGAGAGATGGCTTCAGAGAAGAATTAGGTTTGCTTGGCCTCGTTCGTGTCGGTATCGAAGGAGAGCGAGGTCGAGAGGTTTATAGCCGAGAGAGAGGAGGAAGTGGGGGGGCGGGGGATCGGGCAGGGCCCAAATAGAGAAGGTCAAAAGTCCAACTTTTCTAAACCTTTCCGCACATTTCTTACTCGGCCTTCTCATGAATCCTTCAAAGGGTATGACCACGTGCCGAGCACCTGATATGGACGAATTCGTAGAATGACAACGTTGGCCGTCACGTGACAGTTGTGCCTAAGCTCTCCTGTGATTCGAGGACAGGGTGGGCCCAGGGTAGCCGCAACGAAGACGATGGCGTCGAGGCCTGCAGTTGGTTCCCCAAATCCCTTGTCGGTGTCGGGCGAGATTTCGCGGGGCTTTCACTGACGTGGTTGAAGGGCTGAATTTAATTATCAGAGATGAACGGGGGGGGGGGCCAGGATTCGTCGTAGCACAGCGAGCCGAATCTCCGTCGTGTCTAATAGGGAAAGTGTAGAGCCACGTGGCCGTCGATTCCGCCGTGCCGCGAGCCGTGACTTGGGATGGGTCTTCATCAGCCAACCGCGTGGGTCACCCCGTCCGCTGGAACCCTAGTCATGATGTCATGCTAGAAGACACGGCTATCATGGCTTCAGCGTGCACTCTGCCCTTCTTCTTCTTCTTTAGCACGCAGATCTGTGGAGCTGAACAATGAGCAAGCATGCCGCCCTCGACTACACCAGTATTATTTAATGATAGGTTATATTGAACGGTATCGATACGTCACTTGTTATCTTAGCATTAAATGTTCAGACCTTGTCAAAGAGCATAACACAAAGGACCAGATGAAAGAAAGGTTGGTTGACGTGATCAATGTATTGACAAGGTACCATGAATGAAAGAAGTTCACCTAGTCAAGTAACATGGCCACCTTATCCTTCAAGCTGCTCTTCCTTTTAGTCAGCAGCACCTCTTCTTTCCAGATTGCCTTGCTCGTGGTGGATGGCTCACTAGGTTTATGGGTCAAGTTCATAGTTTCTGTAGCCACTGTTCTGTTCTCATGCTCTTCGGATGTAGGTTTCTTGAGGAGAGGACCCAGAAGGAGATCCAACATATCTTGAGCAGCATCTCCTGTTCGCGGAGTAGCTTGGGGAAAATTGGGGCCTGAAGTCTTCGTGCATCTTGATAATGCTAGGCTGGGGCAGGCAGTTTGGCCAGGACCTGCTCCTCCGATGACCACAGAGGAATCTGAAGAGCATGGAGGATCCATTTCTGATCTGGGTTCCTTTGCAGTCGATCTTCCGTGTTGCTTCTGCCGGTCAGCATTTACATACTGCAATAAGATGACAGAGAAGTAATGAGCACACAAATGTTATACGATTCCAGCTAAGAACATGACAACAAAAAATAGAGAATAGTTTTGAAGTATAACAAAAAAAATATGGTAGAATTCAGAAAGCAAGAGCCAAATGATACTAATACCACGCATGGTTTGTGCAGTGTGCAAGACAACAATAACACTAAAGACCCCCAACTCGAATTCTGGGATTCCAACAGGTGGTAACTCGGGATGTCGACATAGCTACTAAAAGGATTCAATGCGGCAACCGGCATTCCGCAGCTCACAAACAGATACAAACTATACAATGATGCATCAGTGCTTACAGGAAATAACTAAACATTATGACAATTACCTCTTCCGCAATCCGCACCAGGTCTTCAACCGTGAGCTCGATTTCGCTCTCGCTACTCGCTGGAGAGCAAGGAACCACACTGGTTTTGGACCTTTTTTTAGACTTCCTGCTTTCGATCTTTACGGAATTAGCCGCATTATCGACTGTTGTTTCGCCTTGCTCAGTTTCTTCTGTTGTAGGTTTTGTCTCGCCTATTCCATTGCTACTCAAGGAACTGTCCTGGCCGACATTTCTTCTACTTGCTTTTCTCTTTCTTTGTCTAGCAATGGTCCTTCGAGTCGCTTCAAACTCATCCAAATGGTCGACAGGCTGAGCTGGCTTTCTTTTCTGCGTTCTGGCGGTGGACCTTGGCTCGGAACCAGCATCTTGCAATCCATCTCCTGCCCCATAATTCCTTTTCTCACCGGAGTAGCTTGCCCTCGCCATCCAAATGGGCAAACGTCTTCTCTTTCCGGCATCAGTGTCATCGACTACTTCAGTCATATGCTTTCTTCCAAGTCAAATATCAACACTGCCTAAGACCAACAAGGTAGAGAAAAGGCAGTTAAATTCGCATGCTGGATCGAATCTAAGCAATCGTTTATCCAAATTGGAAGTGTAAGACATCAATTAGCGAGATAGTACAGAACACGTTTATTCAACTTACATCAGGAGATGATCATTTACTGAGATTTTATTGCTCGACCAACTTCAACCAGAGATCTCATGGTCAGATCCTTTTTCTGGAGCCATAGACTGGCTGGCACAAAAGAAGCTATGACTCGTGAGTACCCTTCCCTTTGACGGTCTCCTTGCTTCTGAGAGTACTACCTTCATTCATTCTGCCATGATTGATACCAAGTTGGCAGCGCAATCACCGAAGAGCTCGAAAGCACAGATCCAAGAAAATAACATCGAAAGATCAAACAAGAATAGCTATTTTACTTCGTCGAGATGGGTCTCGAAAGTAGCACAGTTACCACATGAAATCGCAGAGGACGACCCTAGGAATCGGGTGTCATCCGAAGCCGTAGAGGGAGGTCCAAAGGAACCCAGAACGATAAACCCTAACCCTGATTCCAGATTCCAAGAGCGGCGAAAAGGAAGAAAAATCACGAAATCTCAAGGAAGGTGGAAACGTTTGTCCTAAATTTACCTGCAAATCAGTTCGCTTCTCAAGAATCAAGCCGCAGGAAACAGACGACGAATCGAAAGCAGAAGGGGGGAAAAGCAAGCCAAAGGTTGTAGTCCTATTGCGGGGGCAGATATCGAGCCCATTTTTATTGGGCTCGAGCCCATCTTGCATCGGGCTGGGAACCGGATCGAGCGTCGTGTCCTCTTCCTCTTCCAATGCAATCACCAGCGTCCTCTGCAGCAGCTACTAGATGCAATCCCCAGCGCACTGGTTCACCGTGGCATCAAGATGACGAGACACGTTGCTCCTTACGCTGTTCATCCAAAGAAAAAGGTCTTTTGTTGCTTTGCAGAGCAGAGGCTTGGAGCGGCCAAAGCATAGATCGTGCGTCACTATACGCACACCTTCATACGATCACCAGGAGTTGGGTAGCCCCGACATCAGATATAGAGTGAGAGACACATGTACGCTGGCTACAAGAACACGACAAGCCAGGTAGGGCCAACATCTTCCTCTCCTTGTGCTCTGATCTATGTTTCCATGATTGGTTTCAGGTCAGGATTTCTACTGCAAATCTGACTCTTTCTTGCGTTATTGTCTGTGCTTGTGATGCTGAAATCTATTCCTCCATTAAAGGGGCAACCTTGTCCTGTTCCGCAAAAAGCATAGCCACCTCTTAGTATTCCCATCTCGTTCTTCCTTCTCTTAACCTCAAACCCCAACCCACTCCTCAATGTGCAGCTCTTGTGTTACCACTTTCTAGTTTGATCGTGCCCAGCAAACAACTCAATTCTTCTCTTCATCGTCTCTGCGACAGTAGGTGACATCCTCCTTGCTATGAACATACTACAAGAGTCTGTGTGTGTGCAGCATTGGTTACGATGAGTGGTCCGTTGCCATGGTGATGCAGTGAGTGACCGCTCGCATTGTGCCTTCATCCTGCGGTGTGCATGAGCAGGCAAGGAGGAAGAGCAGTCGATGGAAGGCATGCAAAGGAAGGGATGTGTGCACAGGATCAGGAAGTGCGCGGTCGATCTGCTGTCGATGGAGGACGATCTGATCGATGCCGAGGGCGAGGATGGGTGGGAGCTGACGGGCAGCGAGCTTCGCCTCAAGTCCACATTCTTGTACTGTGATCTCCACCAGGTGATCGCCAGTGCCGGAGAAGAGCGCAAGGCTCTCACCCTCCTCGCCAACAACCTCTTCTACCGCCTGGAACAGGAAACTCCTCTTCACCTTTTCTCTCTGTGACAACCTCTGCTACTTTGTTGTTAGTGTCTGGAGGAAGAAGACGAAAGTGGTCGGTGTGTGTGTACAGGTTTCTCATCTGATCTCTTTTCCTGTTTCTGCAAATGGCAGCTGGATGAAGCTCTCAAGAGCAGAAGCACCTCTTGGACACACGTCTGCTACCGCGACGCAACCCATGTGTTGCAGGAACTGATGGCAGCTCTCATGCCCCTTCCTTTGAAAGAGCATCAAGTATTCTTGAGTTCCTTCTTAAAAGGAAGTGAAGCTACTCTCCATCATTCACATGGTCACGGTGAAGAAGAGGTAGATATCCGGCAGTTGTTCAGAAGAAAACGAGGAACAATTACTCAAGCAGACTTGGATGATATCCAACATAGTGCAGAACAGGCTGCTGCAAATAAGAGATGTTACAGATCCAACTTGAAGGAGACGAGCTCAGGCTGCAAGAAGGATCTCTTCCCTACAATGAAACACATGGAAGACACACATGAATCAAAATTAGAACTTGATGGCAATAAATAGTGCAGAACAGGCTGCTGCAAATAAGAGATGTTACAGATCCAACTTGAAGGAGACGAGCTCAGGCTGCAAGAAGGATCTCTTCCCTACAATGAAACACATGGAAGACACACATGAATCAAAATTAGAACTTGATGGCAATAAGTTAGAATAATGTTGTTGCAATGTAACAGCAAGAATAATGTTGTTGGAACTCTGACGAGAATTGTGCTAGGATCAATAAACAGGGAGCTTCAAGATCCTCAAGAAAAAGTGGAACAGGAAGATAAGTAAAAGAATCATATTACTTGCATGACACCCATAGATGTCCAACTGTATTCATTGGTGATAAAACACTCGTACTTGAATATCCGTTCAGCTTATTACACTATGAAGATAAATATTTATTCTCTAGAACTAAGAATTTGTTGAACTGCAAGCACCTAATAGTGTTAGTGTTACAAAAGCATTTACAAAGAAGTTCTATATCGTAATCTTGATATGTACGAGTGTCAGGTCCTTGAGATTCTTATTGACTGGCTCTTCAGTCTCCTCTGGTGTGGGCATGCGATCTTTATGCTCTTATCGAAAGGCAGGTGTATCAAAGAGAGTTTTGATCACCTTCATAAGAAGGTTGTGTACTTACAGTAACCCGGTCACTTGGTGGCACCAGGTCACCAGCAGCTTGGTTCTTCCTGGAGATAACTGTTGCCATGTCCATGTGCCTATCAAAAGAGAATATCACAGAAAGACAAAAGATTTGAGGATAATGTACATTTTGATATATTATATTACTAGTTGAGCAAGTTTACACAGTTTAGACCAAGCACCAAGCAATAGGAGTTCATGATCAGAATCCTGTGTATCAAAATGGCTCATTACTGAAGCAGCTTATTCATTACTCGATTGCACACATATCACAAACAGCCATTTCGGAGTATCAGATACAATGCTAGAGAGTTAAGGTGGAAACAAACATTTTTATTTACAGATGTAACTTCTAATTTTGAGGCTTGTTAAAAGTAACAACAGAAAGCAAAAGAGAGAACTATGGATGGTAGAGAAAATCTCCTCTAAAAAAAAATTTTGATTCGTCACGGACTAGACGGTGGATAATAGAATGGCATTTGGATCAAATGGCACAAGTAGAGAAACAAGCATAAAAAGGCTGAAATGCTACCTTGAACAAGTTTAAAAGATGCATATATAGATACTACTTTTTTCCAACCTTTTCATTCCCATTTACAAACATTTGCCCAGCCAAATCCCAATTAGATCATGACCTAATAATACTTGTCATCAACCAAAAATCATCAGAATCTGCAAAATGACCATCAAATAAGTCAAGGAACCTTGATTGGCTTCATGGACACGATGTATTGGTCAATCTCATCCTGTATACAGACCAGAATTGAGGTGCCACAAACTATACACTGACATTAAACCATAAAAAATCATAATTATATCATGAGTTCCTGCTATGCCATATCTCGACACATTTTGTGTTTGTTTCTTGTTCAGCAGCATGACATGTAGCACACTTGCATTTCATGCCTGAAAGTTTCCCAACTGTGGTACGTGGTACAGTATAAATCAGCTGGTTCCCAAAGAACATAGGGTGATACCTCGATCCATCACCTGGCCCCAACAGTGATAGCCTATAATTTTGACAACAATCGACCTACCAGATTCCAGCTTTCCTAGTTTCTTACAATGTTAGATCTGAGAATTGGAAACTAAAGTTAAAAAAGAATCGTTTGTTGTTCTTTCTGTATGATAAGAAGCACCATGCATGTTCATCTGCAGTTATGTTTACTGACAAGATCTGAGTTGATCTCTTTCTGATCTTGAGTACTTCACAAATTATTTTGGATAAACCAAATGGCAATGTGGTCAAAATTAAATCTGAACCAACTACAACAACAAAAGAAAATTATGGTTTATCAACATTTAAGCAGCTATGATAACATATACTAGACTTCAAAAAGGTGGCGACAAATTAATTAAGTGGAAGCTTACCTGACTAGTAGAGCGCAATATGGAATGCAGAAGATTCTCATTGGCATACACAGGCAGTGGAGGCATCTGGCTCATAATACCAGGCGTTTCAAGCATGCTGTTGAAAGAGAAAAATCTTGTTCAGAAGCTCAAACTAACATTAAAAAGCATGAAATATCCACTGGGATGACTATCAGATAGACGATTTGGTTTCAAGTTCTTTAATGATGAAGTTCGTACCTATTTAAAATGGCTGTTATGTTGTTGTTTGTGCGATACAAGAGATCGATGTTATTTTGTATCTGCAGACAAATTAAAAGGCATAAATAACAAAGAACCATATCCATGCTTCTGAATGAAGATGATAACAAAGAGACAATGATACATGCTGAAAGGATAGAACAATCTACCTATTTGCCAAACTAACCAATATGTAACTTACTGTTTAGCAAAATCTTGATCATAGTAAATCAAAATAATGGAGGAACCTATGATAGACAATTGATTATATTTTCTAGTTTACAGTTTCAACATGTAATATACGTTAATAGAGTAACATTGTCTCAATCCTCATCACACTTTAGGTATTCACTAATAAGTATATAAAGTAGCAAGAAATAGTATAAAAATCAAAATACACATCACCAGTCCAGATGGATTTATAATGATAGGAAACAACAGAAATGAATAGGACACAAATATACAAAGTCAATAATTGACAGACAGTGAAGTAAGAAATATCTGTATAGTATAGGCTTGTGTTATAAAAGATGGATCGTAGTTGCTAAATGCTCGTGCTGGATAAATTCATATGTCGACAAACGAGTTATGTGCCTCATGCCACACTTATACTGCTCTAGTTCCACATCACTTTGGTCAATAATTTTTCAGGTCTCATGCATCAATGTATATAAATCCAAGCAACTTCACCCAACAAGGGAAGTTTATTTTATTAATGAGCATCTAAAAGTTCTCTTAATATGCACATTTTCCTGGGTCAAAAATGAATTCCAGATTCCATAACATTTAATCTGCAGGCAAAAAAGTGATTAAATACTTACAGAAAATTAGAGAAATTTTGTGTATCCTAATTAAGAGCATTGATGGTGTTGCACTGATCACTGTGATTCAACATATCCCTCAATGAAAAGCCAAAGAAGTCATGATATATAAAAAAGAATGGTAAATAAGGTTAATTGCTACAATGAATGTACAACTGACCAATGATCGATATGCTTGGACATGTTAAAAGAAGCTTGGATAAATAGATAAATGCATGCACTAAAACTTCCCAAAAAACTAACTAGTTATAAAAGATTATTAGCAATCTGTGATACATGAATCTTGGAAACAATCAGTGAAAATTGAAATTTTACAATGCCATAAGAGTCTTAAGCATCTGATCATATGATTCAACAACACATATGATAAAAGCACCAATGCACTTTTTAATAATGCTTAGCAGATAAATTGTGCTGTATTGAATAAGGGAACAAAGAACAAACCAGTGCAGATAAGTTACTTCATACACCCAAAGGAAATGAATGACAAATTCTGCACTAGTTCAAAGGATAAGACTGCAATCACTTTGCTCCCTACAGCAGAGTAATATATCCAATTCTTCCATCTAGCACAATACAAATGGCATAACCCGATCCTCAGACCCAGCATTCTATGAAAATAAAATATATAACCATTACAGCTCATAGCAAACGAGATTTAAAATAGCTACCTCATTATTTTCACTGTTAACTGCAATCTGGTGAAGAAGTTTTGCATTGTCTTCCAGAATATTCATTGTTCTGCTGTCAATCACTGGGAATGCTGAAGAAACATGGTTAGAATTGAGATTATAAGAAAAAATAAAATAAATTTGGACCAAACTATCATTTACTAAGGAAACGTCACAAAAAGAAACATGTGTATGCTCCACTAGTGGTGCTATCTATCACAAAAAGTACATGCAAATACATACTACGCAAGTCTAAACTTCCAAACCATATAAAGACTTGTTCCATTATAACAAAAGATCAACACATGACTTATATACCAATACCGCTCTTTCCTTTCTGATTATGTACCAAAATGTAAAGGGAAAATGGTAATAATTTGGAACTCACGAATGCCTTTTATGTTCATAAGAACTTGGGGCAAGAGAATCACATTCTTATTTGGTTTGGCCAAGCCCAAGTAGGGAATCCTAGCTCACTAAGAGCCTCCTCCACATTAATTTTTATTTCCATTCCCATGCATATGCTAAACCTCTACAAATATTCATCCTTATCTAATAGCACTGATGGATAGTCAAAAGATAACACATATTTGTATCTGAATTTCAAAGCATAAGCTTAGAGGGAACTATATGAACATAAAGAAGTACATGCAAAAAACTATCTCATATAGTTTTCATTCTCTGTTAAAGAAACCCATATGCTGAGATTTTGACTAATGACATAGGTTAATGTCACATAAGCATTTCAGACATGTTAAACTATCAACAAAAATTAACTATCAGCTAAGATCAAGTGTCTTAGTAATAGCAACTAACCTTCAGATGAGAACTGATTCATATGGTTCCCATTACACATCATGACAGAACAGGCAGCTTCACAGTCCGGTTGATTATAGTGCATATTGACCATTGAAGAACAACCTATAATCTTCTCCTGAACACAATTTTGATACAAGACATCAAAACCACAGCATTAAATTCCTGTACCTTGGATCATTCAATTAAAAAAGAGAAAACTGCATGTCCAAACTACAAAAGTTCCATATACATCTTTCTCTTTTGACTAACAGATAATGCTGTCTTTTCATTATGATTGTATCTTCAGACTAATAAAAACTACAAAACTGAAAATGTTCAGATTTAGTTGAATTTACAGAGCCATATGGGGTACTAGCACAAAATTATTAGAATATCACAAAAATTATTAGAAGAACCTGACATTCTTACTCTCTAGCTAAAGTCTTTGACATATAGTATCAATGTTAATCATGAGTTGTCAATAAGTTGAAGCATGTGAAAATTTACCTTTCTGTCTTTGATTTTCTTTCCAGCATAAAAGTCTTCAGATTTATGTTGTTTACCATTCTCCTTCCTCTATAAATAGGTCAAAAATATTAGCATAATTAGGAAATCCCTAGGACAAGTAGTAAATCTTCTGAGATAATTATACAGTTCAAAGCAAATAACCTCTATAATCAAAATGTCATAAAGATATAAATTATCATAGAACTTAACATCCAGGTATTTCATGGATCTGCCAAAAAAAAATTGAAGGGCAGTTTAGAAATTTCCATAACTATCTGATAAGAATCCCAGGTCCTTTCAAATGCATGGTAAGAAAATTAACCAATTACATGTCAGCAGACATCAGCACTGGCACTCATCTTAATGTTCTGAACTCAATCAGAACCAAAAATCACAAGTGCCATGATACCAATATGTTAAACAATGAGCCTCCCTTAATAATAGGCCATGCAAATGCCTTTTTCTCCTCCTGTCTGCTTCTGAGAAAACACAATTGATTTTACCCTAAACACAGTCTATACCCTTCATGGTCACGACATACGATGTAACAAAAATAACATTAAAACTGATGACTATAAGATTTTCCAACTCAGTCAACATGTAAATAGGGAGAGGGGCCCAATCTGACCCCACATAACTGCAATAAACTATCTAGTCACTCAAAACTTAGGGCTAATTACATATTACCCCCTGTAATTAGACCTCTTTAGCATCTCGATCCCTAAATTTAAAAAATTTATATTGGAATCCCTATAGTTATGAAAGTGAAACATCTAGCTCAATTTACCCTAATGCCATCGGTTTTACCAACAAATGTGCAAAAACAATGAACAAAAAGATAATTTCAACATCCCAGTTACATTTTCTGTGGTGACGGACGACGACACCGCTGGGGCACGTGGGTGGCTATTGTGGATGAGGAAGAGCGACAGCAAAAGGTGAGGGAAAGAGAGATGAGGAAGAGGATGACGCAGATGTCAATGCTCTCTGCATCTACGTCGGCGTCGCTCAGTAGCTGCGTCGACGTCGACACAAATGCAGAGCACCGAAAGGGCCGCTTAACATGTGCATCGGCTCCGACACAGATGTAGATGCAGATGCAGAGCGTCGCTTGGCATCTGCATCAGTACTAACGTAGATGTAGATACAAAGCAACGCCACTCTGCATCTGCGTTGGCACCGACAACAACGCGAGGAAGGGTGATGTCACTCTGCATCTGCGTCGGCGCCGATGCAGATATCGAGTGGCCCTTTCGCCACTCAACATCTTCGTCGGCATCGACGCGGTTGCCGAGCAACACCAATGCAAATGTAGAGCGTTGGTATTTGCATTGTCCTCTTTCTTCTCTCTCTTTGTCTCATCTTTCGTCGTCGCTCTCCTCATCTACAACAACCACCCGCGCCCTCTAGCGGTGTCGTCATCCACCATCATCGAAAACATAACTGGGATATTGAAAGTACCTTTTTGCCTATCGTTTTCATGCTTTTGTCGGTAAAACCAACAACATTATGGTAAATGGAACTAGATGTTTCACTTTCATAACTATATGGATATTGAAATTATCTTTTTGCCCATCATTTTCGTGCTTTCATCGATAAAACCAACGACATTATGGTAAACGGAGCTAGATGTTTCACTTTCACAACTATATGGATATTGCAATTATGTTTTTGCCCATCATTTTCGTGCTTTCATCAATAAAACTAACAACATTATGGTAAATAGAGCTAGATGTTTCACTTTCATAACTATAGATATTCCAATATAAATTTTTTAAGTTCTAAGAGCTGGGATGCTAAAGAGGTCTAAATACAGGAGGACAATCTGTAATTAGCCCCAAAACTGATGACTTTAAGACTTTCCAACTCAACCGACATGCAAACAGAAATAAGAGAGTGATGTCACCCTACATAACTGCAATAAACTTCCAATCACTCAAATTTTCAAAGAAAAGGTAGGAAAACAACCATATGCCTACATAAGCATTGCCATATCCAAACTTAATAAACTGTTTTAAAATAAATATGCATGTTCTCTTTTCTGAACTGCTCATGCACAAAAACTAGGAAACAAACAACTACAAGCATCATATATACAAATAACCAACTATACTAATGGTCATGCACTACAACTTTCTAATAGGATATGTTGTAAAAAAATGTTTTCCGCATTCATGATTAAACTTGTAGAAATACTCACTGTCATCCATCGGCACCTTATCGCAACATCTCTCACAGTCTTCTCGGAAAGTCTAGCTGCTATCTTGATATACTTCATGATAGTAGGTTCACTAGCAAACCTGAAATTTTGAGATGTAACAACAAGTCAGAGCAGAAAAGTAGTCGCAGACTATGACCGATGCTTACAACAGATTGAGGACAACCTTCACACTTTATAGTATTCTAAAAGGAGAAATGAAAACAATGAAATGGAAAATCTCTATTAGAATAGCATTTCAGTTATTTTATCTTACGGAAAATAGAACATCATAATTTAGTTTGAACTAATCCAGTGATGATAAATGTATTTTAAATGAAATATGAGTTCAAGAATAAATAAATATATCTGCAGTGGTGCAAACAGAAATTTTGTTACTCTACCTACAAGTTTAAGATATACTGCTTCTCATGTGGATGAAATAACAAAAAAAAGGCATAAATCTCTCAGATGGCATGTTATGGATCAATAGAAGCCAAGAATCTGTTTTATAAAATGCTAAGAACAATTAAATAGTAATAAGATGCAATGAAATTAGTATTAACCAACATCGTGCAGCTATGAATGTTTACTGTTGTCTATCCAAGTATACTAGTTATATAAGATATAGCCCATAGGACCTACAAAAGTAAGAAATAATTCTCAGACAAAATTACAACATGTAACTTACATGACAAGTCCATGTTTCAACACTTCCAATTCCTCACAGGACCAATCAACAGCAAACGCTGCGAGATGCTCAAGTCCAGGTAATGGATCGAGAAGGATATTGCTTGGCAGATTACCTGTCAAAATCATGGAAGAAATATTGTTTGGAGTGCTGGCATTCCCAGTCAATAATATCCCTGTCGTTGCAATTATTCCACCTGAAGTGTTCATGTCACCAAGAAAAACATTGGTTGTGCTCTTTACATCCTTTGGTTGAAAAGAAACTACATGTTGATTGCAAAAAGACTGCAGAAAAACTCCTCCATGAGGAAAATTGATGCCATGATCCATCACTATCCTCATAACACTAACAGTCCTGAAAGCACTAATTTAAAGAGACTTATGCAGAGCCAAAATCTTTCAATCTTCTCGGAAGCCACTTTGAATATTTAACGCCCTCTACCTGTTTCTGTGTGTAAAATATATGATAGGGAAAAAACCCCTTGAATAATTAGCCAGCGCTTCAGAAGCACCCTTTTTCGATCTCAAGAACAGATACAACTACCTCGGAACGCCCAAATTCCACCATCCTAAAAGGATCCACGACCAAGATTTCATTTCTCCGTACCTGATTGGGACGAACAAAAGTTACATCATACGCAATTGTATTCTACACGGAATCAAAAACAACAAACTCAAAGCACATAGAGACCTTATCACTCAGTCACCTACAGCCCTTGAAAACCAGTGCCCAGATAAAGAACAATCTCTTTCGGTTCGAAGAAACCCTAACAAGAATCTAATAAACAATCGCAAACCCAAAGAGCCATATCATAACTGTTTTCAGGGAAAAAAACACAAGCTTCTGATAACAGAACCCTAAAACAGAGAGAGAGAGAGAGAGAGAGAGAGAGAGAGAGAACCTGCTATCGACCGCCGCAATCTTCTTCTTAAACTTCTCTGACAAGATTAATTACGAGGGAGGGAGGGAAACCCTAACAAGATTTAACCTTTTCTTGTTAGAATACGTGGCCCTTTATAATTGAATAAGATAGAATAACTAATTTGGGAGGAAATCTAGACCCTCTGCTCTCGCCTATAAACGGACAGGATCTCTAGGGGTTGAGGGTGTGTTAGTACATTAGGTTATAACGTTGACACGTATAGACGCATCTCTCCGTTGAGAAATTCAGTTATTCTCCTCGACTCTCTCCCCAAAACCCGTGAAAGGATAGGAAGAGAGGAGAAAGGGTCTACTCTTCGCACTCCCTGCAGATTCCGCAGCGCGATCGGATTAAAGACGGAGATGTATTGAATTTCAATCCTGGCATGTAGGTTAATTCCGCATAATTAACATAGCATAATTACATATTTTTATGCTTACAATTGGTATCAGAGCCCGGTTTTTGAAATCATGCATTAGATCTGTAAATTAATTTACGATGCATAATTACTTTTATCTTCCAAGAACTGTTAAGCAGTAATGGTCACCGTCGACCTCGCTGCAAATCTGCGGTTACGCCGAGTAGCGTACGCATTACAGAACTCGTCCCATATGCGGACATTACAGAACTCGTCCCATATGCGGACATTACAGAACTCGTCCCATATGCGGACATTACAGAATTCGTCCCATATGCGGACATTACAGAATTCGTCCCATATGCGGACATTACATAACTCGTCTCATATGCGGACATCACAGAACCCCGTCCGTGCGACGGTATCACAGAACTCCGTCCGTCCGTGCGACGGCATCACAGAACCCCGGTCGCACACGGCCAGAATCCGTCCATGCGACGGTCGGCCGCACGCAGGCAGACTGACACGGGAGTGTCT